ATCTCATGTAATTAGTATATTAGTATATTGCTATTAACCTACTTCGCATTGAATTTTCATCGATGTTAAGCCTAACAAAAATTTTTTTTAAATAATAATCATCGCTATCGTATCGTTAAAAATTAGAAAATTGAAGCCTTGTTTAAATACTGGCTTTCTTTCATGGTCGAGCCATGTTGCCAGCTAAAACACATAAAAATACTATTAAAGTAGCCAAAACATAGCCAAATATTGTAGCACCACATCACTAGCGGACATTTGAATTTGCCGACTAGAACGGTCGGTTATCTGATGTGACCTGGTTAATCGGGGGTCGGATAATCGATGCTCTACTGTATATACAAAGTTCTTAGAAACCACACTCTACAAACTCAATGTAATTAAATTAATTAATTATAGTCAGGGAGCATCCTTTCCATTCCAACAGGACAAATGGAAGATCACTGATATCGGCAGAACTTCTGGAAGACTATTTTGGCTGCATCTACCCTAAAAGTTGTTCCTCATCCCTCACTTCACACCACAGGATAGAGTCTTGGAACCAAAATGTAAACTTCATAAAGATTGATTGGATCATGCTATCCATGATACTCAGAACAGTATGCCAAAAACAAGCAAAATCCCTTCTTGGCATACATATTAATCCAAGAATTTGTTCTTAAAGGTAGGGGATGAGTTGTTTAGTAAACACAACCATAAAGACTATCAGAACTCAAATATACATTGAACTATTCCTAAAGGAGGAATGAGTCAGGGTCAATTAGAAAACTCATTCTAACCCTACTCAAGGTCAAATAATTGCCAGTTAATCCAGAGCAACAATAGACAATATACAAGGATCGTTCAAAAAGTAATGCACCATAATTGGAAACCATTTCATGGTCTTTGGGAAACAGATCATGACATGGCTCCACTTTTGAGGCATTATATCTGGAAACTTTGCTAACATTGTGGAAATTTTCAAGTCCCACTGCCAAGCAGAACCACTGCAACTTCACTGAAAAATGGCAAATGTCAGCAATGTGCAATAATAGAATTCCTCATTGCTAAAGAGAAAATGATTGAAATATTCACAAGCAATTGTGTGATGTCTATGGTACTGCAGCTGTCAACCAAAGCACTGTCAGTCATTGGGAGAAACATATGAAGTCAATGACAATAGGAATGGCAGATCTCTGCAATTTGGCATAAACAGATATCCCACTACAGTTGTCACAGCAGCCACAATGAAACAATTCAGGAGAAATGATGTGTTATAGTCAACAGCTGGAAAAATTCTTGTGCATTAGTGCCGGGAGTGTTCACCAAATCATCCATGAACTTGGGTATGCCAAAATGTATTCTTGATGTGACCTGGAGTAGTTCATGATTGACCAAAAATCAGCAAGGAAAACCATTGCATCAGAAGCCATGCAATGCTATGAATCTGACAGCAACAAAGTTCTTGGCTTGCATCATCACTGGATATGAAATGTGGGTTTACCACTTTAAACTTAAAACAAAGCAGCAATCACTGGAATGTCACCATCCTCATTCACCATGGAATGAAAGAAAAAAAAAAAAACAAATTTGTTCCATCAGCAGGAACGGTTATGATCAGTGTGTTTTGAGACATTCATGGTGTCATTTTGATGAATGTTAAGCATATAGGATCCACCATTTGCTCAGAGGCTTATGTCAGTATGCTGAAAAGGCTCAAGAAGTGTTATCAACTTGTCAGACATGAGAAGGACTTGTACAACTTGCTCCTTCAGCATGACAACATGAGACCACACCCAATCATGAAGGAAATCATGAAACTGGGTTATACAGTATTGCCGCATCCACCTTACCTTTTTACCTTTTTGGACCTTTGAAAAATGCACTTTGTGGGATAAAATTCCAGACAGATGAAGATGTTGTCAGTGCTGTGAGAAAGTGAAAGATGCACAGGATTAGGATTGGTACCGAGCCAGCATACATGCCCTCCCTCAGTGCTGGTATATGGCCAAAACAAGGACAGAGACTTTGTTAAAAAAAAAAAACATGAATAGCTGAAAGTAGCAGATAGGAGATGTCCAAATTTCACAACTGTATGCAACATACTAGCAGCAAAATAAATTCTGGTGCATTAATTTTTGAATGAACCTTGTATCAGGTAAGTTACCATACTAATGAGTGAGGCAGAGATTAGAAATTTCTGACACTCCTAGGGAATTAATTATAAGGTTCCAATTTCCAAACTCTTTCACCCTCATTTAGAAAGCTTGATCCAGTGAGGGCAAACAGGAGTAAAGGTATATATCTCTAAGTTTCTGTTACTGGTTAAACATTAAAGAATTAAAAGCTATTGGCTTTATTCAGTAACACATCATACAAAAAGCAGTTGTTGATGTAGTTTTTATTGAAGCAGAAGTCTAAGGACTGAAGACCCAAAAGTACATATCTCTGTTTATGAGTTGAAGAAATGAGGAAAGAAGCTGAGAATGGGATTTCTTCAATACATTTGTTTTCAAGTAGGGATTTGTTCATATGGTTGCATAAGATACTTATAGATATATATTAGTGCTGAACATCTAGTACCTGATTTTGTATCCAGTACCTCTTTAAACAACAGCATACAATATGAAAAATCATAAACAAGCAAACTGATTTTTAAAAAAATTGATTAGTAAATACAGTCGATCCCCCTATAACATGGTAGATACATTCCACTTTATAAGAATTTCACATTGTAGGAATCCTTAAATACTCGAGCCAATCACAGCCTGGCACGTGTGCAGTTTACAGACTATGGCTGTTTGAAATGTTCTCTTCCATAAAATTAATCGATTCTAGACTAATTTGACTCAACATTTCCAAAACACGTATAATTTTTTGGGAATAATCTGTATAAACTATGCTATAAACAAAAAATTGTAGGATTACTTACTGAGTGTGCACCGTTCAATGACGCCATTGCTTAAGCTTGTTCTCGTCATGGAGCGGTGCATCAAACGACGGGTACGTGTTTTCTGATAAATTATTTTTCTGCGAAAAATTTGCTGAACTTTGGAGATATCGTTAATAGAAATAATTTTTATGGCCGTTGAATAAGAAATGTTTTTTTCACAAGAAATGTATAAAATTACTTGCAAGAACTTTGTTTCATCGTAATATTACAATTTCTACAAAATTCCCGAACAAAATTAATAGTTCACCTGGACAGTGAGTAAATTTCTGGACTATCTGGGTAAAAACCAGATGGGTGGTAACACTAGTGATATAATAAAACTTTTGTTTATTGAATAACAATAGTTTATTCAATAGGCATTTATGTGAAGTGTAGTTGTTTCCTTCTCAGTATTGTGTTTTCATCCCACTTATTTTATACTTACATCTACAATGAAGTATAATAGGAAAACAATATGTTTTAATGTTTGAGATGGTATCTTCTAGACCACATACCAGAAAATGATATGCTATCAATGGCTGCTCTGGAAGTGCAGAGTATACAGTGGAACAAGTTATGCAAAGGGTTTTTCCATTCTAGTAATTTTCTGCAAAGTATACACTGTCACTGATTATATGCACAGAAATACATTAATCTGACTATTACTTGAGAAAACTGTTGAGGTGAACCTAAAGTAAATATTACTAAATTAAATTAAAACTTCATTATAAAACAGATCAATATTTTTTCTCTTTTATCAATGTAACTACTAATTTGGCAATATTGATAATATATGGTTATCATTATTGCTGTCAGAAGGTGAAAGAGTTGAGTAGAACTTCCAATTAGACAATGAATATGAATGTAGTTTAAGAGATCAGTATCTATTGTTTTTTTAAAAAGTTTTAAATTGATTAAAAAATATAATTATCTTAATTTTTGGAACTATTATTGTAAGTAAATTTTTGTATTACTTTTAAATTTTATAAATGTACACATTGGTCCAATAAAGTTTTCACCTTTGCGTCACAGGTAAGTGGTACCTTTATGTCGTTTACATGACTTTACATCATTTCTACCTGTAATCCCATTGTGTGAAATGGACTGCTCCACTGTGCACAGTAATGAAAGGTGATGGAAATGATTAAAAGTGGAATTTTGTAGCGATGTAAGCTTAAAAAACTAATCTCTGCTCATGTCATCATTTTTGGGTTTGTCATGAGTGTTTTTTATTCTAAGATTGTGGAACTGCAGCCAGGCCATCACAATATCAAAAACTATGATTGTATCATTGTTTATGTAATTTTTTTCCGCCTAACATTTATTATGCTTTTATTATTGTAATTTGATCCCAAAAAGCAATAAAATAAGCATAATCTAGTTTCACTTTGTTGTAAATTGTCTCAAGTTTCAAGAACTGAAATCTTTGTAATGAGAGAGGAATGGGGTTCCATTTCAAGGTCAGAGAAGTAAAAGTTTATTACTTTGGCAGAAGAGTGTCATTTGAGACAACCCACTGCTAATATCAACAAAGTGCAAATTATTTTATTATCCTGTAAACAAATCCTCCCTTTTCCTTCCCACTCCTAAGTAGGTCAAATGACAATGTTATTGTCTTATTGTATTCCAAATAATGTTGTTATTGACATTTAAGAATCAGTTTTGTCAAAACGTTTTATTTTAATTAAACTAGAAATAGATTATCTTAATAGCTTTCTTATAATTGATTAACTTGTTTCATTTATAAATATATTTTTATGATGTTTTAAATCAACTCATTTTAGAAATAATATATAAATTTTATAAAGTNCTGAACTTTAAAGTGTGTTTGTAATTGTTACCTTAATGTAATTTTGTAATACATTAGACTACTTTTTATATTTACTTTTCTAACACTCTTTAATTACTTTTCAGTTTATTTCTTCTTCCAAATATACGTTTTACATTGTTTAATTCATTTAAATATTATTTTTAAACTTAAAATTTAGCATAAACATGCTGATTTTAAGCTTATAGAGCTTATGTAGAAGAAAGTTCAGAACTGTATCTTTACAATTTATTCAAATTTATATGAAATACACAAACTTGCCTTATGTACTGCTCCTTGATGTTGAGCTAATTTTCTAGTACCTTTACAAACACCTGTGCTTGAAAGTTCTGCTAACCGCACCTGACCATCTCTTGCACAGCTCACTAGATGACAATCTCCACTTAAAGGCATAAATTTTGCCTGTAAAAAAATTTTATATCATTTTCTTTTAATAATCAATCAATCAAACAAAAAAATTTACTTGGCTAAAACTGATTAGAAATATATTTATTTAACAAATTTCTCATTACAAACAGGCATCTGTAGTCCTAGATTTTTTTATCATTAATAAATTTATTAGCCTAAAATTAAATAATCAGAAACAAAGTTAAATCCAATCATCTCAACAAAAATTGTTAATTAATAATACATAAATATTATTTTTTCATTCAGTTTTTGACAGAGATTATTATTAAAGAATTTAAACAATTTAAAAATTCTGTGCATATTAATTGTAAATAAATACTCCTGTGATATATGAATGTACAGTAGAGCCTTGATTATCCGACCCCCGATTAACCGACACCTCAGTTAACCGACCATCCTAGTCGGCAAATTTTAAATGTCCGCTNTGTCAGTCATTGGGAGAAACATATGAAGTCAATGACAATAGGAATGGCAGATCTCTGCAATTTGGCATAAACAGATATCCCACTACAGTTGTCACAGCAGCCACAATGAAACAATTCAGGAGAAATGATGTGTTATAGTCAACAGCTGGAAAAATTCTTGTGCATTAGTGCCGGGAGTGTTCACCAAATCATCCATGAACTTGGGTATGCCAAAATGTATTCTTGATGTGACCTGGAGTAGTTCATGATTGACCAAAAATCAGCAAGGAAAACCATTGCATCAGAAGCCATGCAATGCTATGAATCTGACAGCAACAAAGTTCTTGGCTTGCATCATCACTGGATATGAAATGTGGGTTTACCACTTTAAACTTAAAACAAAGCAGCAATCACTGGAATGTCACCATCCTCATTCACCATGGAATGAAAGAAAAAAAAAAAAACAAATTTGTTCCATCAGCAGGAACGGTTATGATCAGTGTGTTTTGAGACATTCATGGTGTCATTTTGATGAATGTTAAGCATATAGGATCCACCATTTGCTCAGAGGCTTATGTCAGTATGCTGAAAAGGCTCAAGAAGTGTTATCAACTTGTCAGACATGAGAAGGACTTGTACAACTTGCTCCTTCAGCATGACAACATGAGACCACACCCAATCATGAAGGAAATCATGAAACTGGGTTATACAGTATTGCCGCATCCACCTTACCTTTTTACCTTTTTGGACCTTTGAAAAATGCACTTTGTGGGATAAAATTCCAGACAGATGAAGATGTTGTCAGTGCTGTGAGAAAGTGAAAGATGCACAGGATTAGGATTGGTACCGAGCCAGCATACATGCCCTCCCTCAGTGCTGGTATATGGCCAAAACAAGGACAGAGACTTTGTTAAAAAAAAAAAACATGAATAGCTGAAAGTAGCAGATAGGAGATGTCCAAATTTCACAACTGTATGCAACATACTAGCAGCAAAATAAATTCTGGTGCATTAATTTTTGAATGAACCTTGTATCAGGTAAGTTACCATACTAATGAGTGAGGCAGAGATTAGAAATTTCTGACACTCCTAGGGAATTAATTATAAGGTTCCAATTTCCAAACTCTTTCACCCTCATTTAGAAAGCTTGATCCAGTGAGGGCAAACAGGAGTAAAGGTATATATCTCTAAGTTTCTGTTACTGGTTAAACATTAAAGAATTAAAAGCTATTGGCTTTATTCAGTAACACATCATACAAAAAGCAGTTGTTGATGTAGTTTTTATTGAAGCAGAAGTCTAAGGACTGAAGACCCAAAAGTACATATCTCTGTTTATGAGTTGAAGAAATGAGGAAAGAAGCTGAGAATGGGATTTCTTCAATACATTTGTTTTCAAGTAGGGATTTGTTCATATGGTTGCATAAGATACTTATAGATATATATTAGTGCTGAACATCTAGTACCTGATTTTGTATCCAGTACCTCTTTAAACAACAGCATACAATATGAAAAATCATAAACAAGCAAACTGATTTTTAAAAAAATTGATTAGTAAATACAGTCGATCCCCCTATAACATGGTAGATACATTCCACTTTATAAGAATTTCACATTGTAGGAATCCTTAAATACTCGAGCCAATCACAGCCTGGCACGTGTGCAGTTTACAGACTATGGCTGTTTGAAATGTTCTCTTCCATAAAATTAATCGATTCTAGACTAATTTGACTCAACATTTCCAAAACACGTATAATTTTTTGGGAATAATCTGTATAAACTATGCTATAAACAAAAAATTGTAGGATTACTTACTGAGTGTGCACCGTTCAATGACGCCATTGCTTAAGCTTGTTCTCGTCATGGAGCGGTGCATCAAACGACGGGTACGTGTTTTCTGATAAATTATTTTTCTGCGAAAAATTTGCTGAACTTTGGAGATATCGTTAATAGAAATAATTTTTATGGCCGTTGAATAAGAAATGTTTTTTTCACAAGAAATGTATAAAATTACTTGCAAGAACTTTGTTTCATCGTAATATTACAATTTCTACAAAATTCCCGAACAAAATTAATAGTTCACCTGGACAGTGAGTAAATTCCTGGACTATCTGGGTAAAAACCAGATGGGTGGTAACACTAATGATATAATAAAACTTTTGTTTATTGAATAACAATAGTTTATTCAATAGGCATTTATGTGAAGTGTAGTTGTTTCCTTCTCAGTATTGTGTTTTCATCCCACTTATTTTATACTTACATCTACAATGAAGTATAATAGGAAAACAATATGTTTTAATGTTTGAGATGGTATCTTCTAGACCACATACCAGAAAATGATATGCTATCAATGGCTGCTCTGGAAGTGCAGAGTATACAGTGGAACAAGTTATGCAAAGGGTTTTTCCATTCTAGTAATTTTCTGCAAAGTATACACTGTCACAGATTATATGCACAGAAATACATTAATCTGACTATTACTTGAGAAAACTGTTGAGGTGAACCTAAAGTAAATATTACTAAATTAAATTAAAACTTCATTATAAAACAGATCAATATTTTTTCTCTTTTATCAATGTAACTACTAATTTGGCAATATTGATAATATATGGTTATCATTATTGCTGTCAGAAGGTGAAAGAGTTGAGTAGAACTTCCAATTAGACAATGAATATGAATGTAGTTTAAGAGATCAGTATCTATTGTTTTTTTAAAAAGTTTTAAATTGATTAAAAAATATAATTATCTTAATTTTTGGAACTATTATTGTAAGTAAATTTTTGTATTACTTTTAAATTTTATAAATGTACACATTGGTCCAATAAAGTTTTCACCTTTGCGTCACAGGTAAGTGGTACCTTTATGTCGTTTACATGACTTTACATCATTTCTACCTGTAATCCCATTGTGTGAAATGGACTGCTCCACTGTGCACAGTAATGAAAGGTGATGGAAATGATTAAAAGTGGAATTTTGTAGCGATGTAAGCTTAAAAAACTAATCTCTGCTCATGTCATCATTTTTGGGTTTGTCATGAGTGTTTTTTATTCTAAGATTGTGGAACTGCAGCCAGGCCATCACAATATCAAAAACTATGATTGTATCATTGTTTATGTAATTTTTTTCCGCCTAACATTTATTATGCTTTTATTATTGTAATTTGATCCCAAAAAGCAATAAAATAAGCATAATCTAGTTTCACTTTGTTGTAAATTGTCTCAAGTTTCAAGAACTGAAATCTTTGTAATGAGAGAGGAATGGGGTTCCATTTCAAGGTCAGAGAAGTAAAAGTTTATTACTTTGGCAGAAGAGTGTCATTTGAGACAACCCACTGCTAATATCAACAAAGTGCAAATTATTTTATTATCCTGTAAACAAAAAACCTCCCTTTTCCTTCCCACTCCTAAGTAGGTCAAATGACAATGTTATTGTCTTATTGTATTCCAAATAATGTTGTTATTGACATTTAAGAATCAGTTTTGTCAAAACGTTTTATTTTAATTAAACTAGAAATAGATTATCTTAATAGCTTTCTTATAATTGATTAACTTGTTTCATTTATAAATATATTTTTATGATGTTTTAAATCAACTCATTTTAGAAATAATATATAAATTTTATAAAGTAAAATGTAAAAATTGTAATGAAAATTTTGTTATCATTGATGAAAGTTTTCATCAGATCAGATCAAATATTAAAATCTTAATTCAATTGTTATTATATAAGATTAATAATTTTGTGTTATATAATAAAACACTATTAACTATTAACTCTTACATACCTGAAATACATTGCTACGATGTCCACTATCATATAATAAAACTGGTTCATTGATGGCCCAGTCCCAGATAACAATACTTAAATCATCTGAACCACTGACCAATTTAGTACCAGTAGTGTTAAAATGTAATGAATTAACACATCCTTCGTGCTTTTTCATTTTGTACATAAGTTCAAGTCGTTCAATCATATGTAAACTACTGTAGCTATTATATCTAAACCAATCATTAGAATAACGATTGGGAACTCCGTACTGACGATTAATAACTTCTTTACAAAGAAACCATTTATGTTTAGGTCTTTCAGTTTTTGGTGTTGGATCATAATCATCATCATCATCTGAACTTAATTTTACAGGTTCATCACTTTTTGTAGAAAGGAAATCTTCATCCGAATCATCATTTTTACTATCCTTTGCAGTAGACAAAGTACTTTTTTTATTTTTATGTGAAAAATCCTTAACAGAATCAGCTTCATTTTTAGTTTCAACAGTTCCAATTGAATAAGAACTATCAGGATTGCCTGAATCAGGAGAATTTTGGCCACTTGTTTTATGAGATTCTACAGTATTTTCAACAATTTCATTTTCACTTTCATCACACATTTCATCTGAAATTTTCTCTACATAGATTCCACTATCATCTTTTTTCATTTTTCTTCTTGTTGCTTTTCCGGCTCTTAAATCTTGTATTTCAGTCTGTTCATCTTCCAATTGCATATCTGAGGCTTCATTACTTTGTGATTTATCATTATGTTTAGTAGATTGTTCAACATCCATAGAGTCAGAAACATTCAGTGAACAGGAGGCAGATAAATCCTCATTTGAAGGTTTTAAAGACATTTTTCTTATGAATTCAGCAGACTAATAATTCTCTTATTTCTGAAAAAGTTAATATATTAAATAATTAATTTTCATATAAAAGTTTTTAAGAAATATGAAAAATTATTTGTATCAGTTTGTGACTCTTACATAAATAAACCAATCAAATATTTTGAAACAAAAATAAAATACACACACATTTTTTTAACAGTAGATGTGAATATACATGATGATATACAAGAATCATTCTAATGACTTTTTTTAGTCATTGTGTGTTTGGATATTATCATCATCATCATCAAAGAAAATATAAATATCTATCTATAAATCTCAGTACAGACATTCCTGGGTTGCTGGCTACTCAAGTGCAAAAACAATATCACTGCCCATATTAATTTATTATTTAATTATGAATTTGATATTGCTGTATAATAATTTTAACTCCTTAACCTCCTATTGAAGTGCTGGAAGAGTTGTGTAAGAGCTCTTGCTAGTCCTTTTTTAAACGTTTTTAGCATCAGATCCTTTAAATAACTTGTTGGACTTTATATTTAAAGTTCAATACTGATTTTTTTTTCTATTTATATCTTACATCTATTTATATAATTTTATATTTATATAAAAGTTCTTCACTTTTATGAAACCCTAAATATCAAAAATATTCACAAATCAGAAGAAATAATGAAATGTCTTCATATCTTGTTCTCCTTCAACAACCTCAAGAACACAACAACAGTCTTTATGAGTGGAGTTGACCTTTTATTTGAGGCTACAGTATTTGTCTGCCTTGTTATATAAAAGCATTTAAAAATTCCTAGGTGGTGGTACAATCGCAATAAAAATATTTAAATTAATAATACATTAATTAATAAACAAAATGGCCAAGAACAATAAATATTTAAAAAATTATTCACAAAAAAAGAAGAAATAATAAAATAAACTAAATAAAACAAAAACAATAAAATGTGTTCATATCTTGTCCAACAGCCTTTCATTAATTAATGTATTAGAAATTGAAATATTCTTAAATATCAATCAAATCAGAATTGTCAGATAATCATTTCACAGAGGTCCCCCGATATTGGATTGCCCATCACGACTCCTTTCTTTGGGTGTAGACAATTCCATTAAATTGAAATATAGAATTAGGAAAGGAAGTCCTGATGGGCAGTCCAGTATCGAGACCTCTGTGAAATGGTTATCCAACAGTTAGAAAACGAAGTTCTATCAAAATTCCTCCCCAGCATCATCCTCTGCAAATTGGAATTACAAAAAAAATGAATAGTTATGTAGATTACATCCCAGAAGAGTAAGCAAGCATCTTTTCCTATAATACAGTAAAGGTTGCAAAATTTTCTAATTTTTGCTTCCACCCTAGGAAGCAAAAATTAAAAAATTCATGATCCAAACATTGCCACTGTAACTTCTATCTTATAAACATTAAATGAAATCATTTTTGGATCTGCAGCTCCAAAAATTTGCACCTTAAAATCCAAGATTAGAGCAAATTCAAAAAATGATAAACTAAAAATTTGAAACCTAAATTCAATTGTTTTTAGTAGTCCCAATTCATTCTTAATTGTCCAACTATTAAAAATCAATGTATGATTGGGATAAATATTAAATCAAGAACTTTAAAATGAGACTTCATTGTATGTTGAAATCATACAATATTAAGTTTAACAAATGTTTTGATTTTACTATAACTAAAAACATACACAAAACCAAAGTATTTTAACACAAATAAAAAGCAGAAAATTTACTGAATATATTGGTCATGGTGTTAATGTTGTTAAACTATACCACAAAACACCAAGTCACTGGCTTGGCAGGCATTTATGGACTCCAAACTTTAAGTGTCATGTTATGTCAACCATACAACACAGATGCACCTCATATAACACCTTTGAATGTTTCTCGAATTTCCTAAACCATTCGCTCTGATCTATCAGAAATTCTGTTTTACAACTGAACAAGAACTCACAGCAGTTCAAAAACGTTTGAGGTGAACATTTTTTCTTTTGTTTTTTTACAACATAGGTTATGGGTTCTAGGTTCTAGGAGTACATTTTTTAATGTTGTTATTTAAATAATAGTAAAAATTCTCCTAATTTAAGGGAAAATTGCTAAAACAGCTTAGAAAAATCTGGCAGCTAGAGATAAACGTGTAGAAATGAAGATCATGAGAAAACGACCCTCATGATCTTCACTGGGACTTGATTAGATACTAGAAAACTATTGTTGAGATTTACAGATTAAAAATATTATATATTTAATTTAATGAAGTTTAAAGTTTATCTATACAAACATCTCTAAGCCCAATATATTTGTAATAAGCCAAATAACTACTGGATAACATTGGGCTACTTTTCTGCAATTATATTTAAGTATTTCTAAATAATTTGTCCTAGAGAGAGACTTTAGGCACCATCTCTTATTAAATTTAATAATTTAGAATATTATAGAAGAAAAGAATTGGCCTGGAGCAGGACTCAAACATATCTGCACAGTAAATGGGAGTTGTGGATTCAAGTCCCACTCTAAGCCAATTCCTTTCTTCCAGAATATTCTAAATTATTAAATTTAATAAGAGATGGTAGTTAACGCCTCTCTGTAGTACAAATTATTTAGAAATGAATTAAATTTAATTACAGAAAAGTAGCCTAATGATATCTGGTAGTTATTTGGCTAAAGTTTACTATTGAGTAATCACAAGATCTTGCATTACATACAGTATTTATTCTAATAAAAAAAAATGCTCTCTCTATTATATTTTTCAGCTTTCAACTGCACTGTTTATTAGACAGTATCTATTATTCCTACTTTTTTGTGAATGGGATGTGATTATTATTCAAAGGCAACTATTAATGGAATAAATCTAGTAAATTTTTCACTTTATTTCTATATAAAAAAACAACATAACACTGACATTTTATTTTAATACAAAGTAAGAGTGACAATACCTAATTGAAAATGTTATTTTCAGTTTATAATAAACAGTGCACTTACTATTAGAGTGAGCTGTCTATTAATTTTTTCAGCTTCTAATAATTTTATTAAATGCCCTTATTAGAGGGCATTTAATAAGTTATTAGAGGCCACTGTTAGAATAAATATGATATACAAATATAGGAAGGAATAACAGAATTGAAAATATGAGAATATAAATTATATGCACTTATTTAGAAAAAAATTGATCCTGTATTATCACTTAAAGCATAGGACAATAGGACAATTTCTTAGAAAGCATGATATTTCTTTACTTTCCTATTTAGAAGACTATGAAAAGTAGGAAAAACAGGATGAATATGAAACATACAAAGTTCTTGCATGAATGTTATAAAATTCAAAAAGTAAATGACTTTATATTGAAGAACACACATGTGCTTTTGGAACAGAAATAGAAATAAAGCATTCAAAGTAAAAAGTGCTGTCACTTTCTATCAATACATTGAATGGTTACATGTACTACAGTATTGCCATATTGTTTCAAGAACTGTAAAAATTCTTAAATTTAACTTCAACCTATTAAAATTTTTTATCATGACTTAGGAACTAATTAATAAAATCATCATACAAACTGGCATAAAAAGTGAACTATAAAAAGTTTATAAATAAGTAAACGATGATAATCAACTATTAACATTCAACACGGTAAAAAAAACTAAAATTAATGGAAATTCTGACTTGAAGATTTCTTTATTTATTATAAATATTATTAATTAATGATAATTTATTTTTGCTTGAATTTTGAAATAAATCTTTTAATCAACAGTTAGCATTAAATTCAAGTAAGAAATACCAGCAATTTTACATTACAGATGATTAAAATGATTAACATTTAATGTTCAAAGCACTGGTGACAATGGCACATTATTAGCCACATACTGTGGCAAATCGTACAAAAAGTCAGCTTTTTGACTACTTACCTAATGATGATGATAACAATTATCAAAGTTTCCTATATGTATTTTCTTATATGTTTCTAGAATCTGCTAATTATGATAATTAAACAACCAACGATAATACCATAATTACATTAAACAGATTCTACTGCATAAAATATTGAATTTCTTTAACATGCTAACAAACTTAAATTTCTTAAATTTAAAATTTTACTTATTAAAATTTGTATCACTGTAATGATGACGACATAGCTTTGCAATTTGAAATTTAAGCAACAAAAATTAGGAAAAATTCTTTATTTTATAAAACAAGTATTTTCAACTAATTCATAATCAGAGTTTGAACTTATGATATTAGACTCAAAATAACTTCATACATTATAACGGTTTTAGTTATTGCATACAAAATACACTACTTTTTGCAAGACAAATATTATCCTGCATAAAGTAAAATTTTCAAGGACGAAAGGGTATCTGCAGTCAAGGCTATGCTTCAAAGCTTCAGCTGCTATTTAAATGTATTGAAACAAAATAATTTTTAATAAAGACTAGACATAAGGAGGTATTAAACATACAATTATATTCTAATCTTTTATCACACAGTGTATTTTAAAACTGAATTATCATTAATTTTTAATGCCTTTTATAATGTCACTCTTTTAAAATCAGTTCTTATATTATAAAAATTTTAAAATACAATTAAAAATAATATTAAGTATTCATTAATCAAGATAAAAATAAATCAGTACTTTAACCCCTCAAGATCATTTCAGATATTTCTTTAAAGCAAATACAAACAAACTATATCCAGCAGATGTAGTCTGCTCAAATGATAAGCAGAATTTGTAGATTTGAGTCCTATCCCAGGTCAATCTTTTCCATCCAGAATAAATTAGTGTAAATTTAACACTAAAATGATTCTAATTATTAGTATTAATCAGTACAAGATAGTGGCCTAGCTGCCTATCTTTAGACCAAATTATTTTGTTTGATATTTAACAGTCCAAAATAATTCAATAATTGAAGAACTGTTTATATTTTCATAACAATTGAACATGAGACTGTTTTAAATTAAGATTTCAAACAAGTTCAAAAAATTATCAATCACTGCTTTTGAATACACTATCTTTAAATTTTTTAATTGACACAAAATCATCATTTATACTGGTTAAGTA